TCAATCTGTTATATTAATTTTCTGATTTGCATAATTAGTTTCAGCTTTTCCATCAATATCTCAAGTACAAGTAATTTCGAATTATTTTTAATGTGTCTCTAATACTCTCAGCACATGGGAGTTCTTTCTAAGCTTTCTTTGATTTGATTTTCATTGTGTTTAAGATAAGTAGTGATAATTAACTATACTGCATTTATGACAGAGACAGACTTTAATTTACATATATGTTAATTTTATATTTACAGTGCCAATATGATTGATGAACATGTTGTTGAACACACTGATTTACCAAATCATCTCATTAAAGATGTTCATGGTACCGTAATATTTCAAGAGACTGAAAACCTAGTAAGTTGGCAATGTTTACAGAAATGTATGTCTCACATTTTGCAATATACATCAGACAAAGTATAACACAAGGCAATATAAATATGCCATAACCCTAACTACATAATAACTCACTCAATTTCATTTATTTTATGCAGAATTGTTAAAGTATGACCGTAGACACAACATGTGGACACAACACTTATGAAGCACCCCCATCGTCTGAAAATTAAATTAACACAGGTTTGTTTTTATTTAGGTTCAGCCAATCATGAACCATCCTGATCAAGAATTGAATACCTTTTCTAAAAGTTTATTAGATTCTCATGTGAGGATGTGCCAGACTGATATGAAGAAAATTCACAGACAGGTAATATTGTATGTTTTCAATTATTGCAAGGTGTAACCTTATTAGTCAGCTGTGGTCTCTATGAATATTGCCTTGATTAATAACACCTGTATGGTATATGTATGTATGTAAATCAGTGTGGTGGTTTATATGGATACAAGTGTGTTGGTTTATATGAATATATACAATTGTGGTGGTTTATATGAATATACAATTGTGATGGTTTATATGAATATACAATTGTGGTGGTTTATATGAATATACAATTGTGGTGGTTTATATGAATATACAATTGTGGTGGTTTATATGAATATTCAAGTGTTGTGGTTTATATGAATATACAAGTGTGGTGATTTATATGAATATATACAATTGTGGTGGTTTATATGAATATACAATTGTGATGGTTTATATGAATATACAATTGTGGTGGTTTATATGAATTTACAAGTGTGGTGGTTTATATGAATATACAAGTGTTGTGGTTTATATGAATATACAAGTGTTGTGGTTTATATGAATATATACAATTGTGGTGGTTTATATGAATATACAAGTGTGATGGTTTATATGAATATACAATTGTGGTGGTTTATATGAATTTACAAGTGTTGTGGTTTATATGAATATACATGTGTTGTGGTTTATATGAATATATACAATTGTGGTGGTTTATATGAATATACAATTGTGGTGGTTTATATGAATATACAAGTGTGATGGTTTATATGAATTTACAATTGTGGTGGTTTATATGAATATACAATTGTGGTGGTTTATATGAATATACAAGTGTGATGGTTTATATGAATATACAATTGTGGTGGTTTATATGAATATACAATTGTGACAATTCATCCATCAAACAAATAAAATAGGTCAAACTTGAAAATGGAACATATAGCTTAAATAACTGGTCACGTGGTATAATAAAGTGTAATAAAAATTAAAATATGCTAAACTTTATCATCATTGGATATATGTCCGATATTTATCAAACTATAACTATAAAACAACCCAAATAAATTTCCCTCATCTAATATTGATCTAAAACTTGATAATCAGCATAATTATTAAAGTTTAAGATTAATATTAGATAACATTAATAATTCACAATCTCAGAAATCATAACTACCATATAATCTAAACCACAGCCTGTCTAATAACAATCTAATATTGATTGAAAAGGAAGTCTGTGATATGTTGCCTGAATAGCTGCTCACATGCAGTTTAGTAAAAATTACAATAATGTTTATTAAGTTTATTTACAAAATATTTTGTTATTTTTCAGAAACACACCGTAAGAGCTGTTCCTGTATCAGAAGTTCATTGGACATGGCAAACCAAGGGCAGTAGATTCTGGGTATATGGAAATGATAGAACAATATATATAACAAAATATCCACAGAAAAATTGTTGGGGCTGTCAAATACTTTAAAGGGGCACCTTCCAGTTAAGCCTAATTTCACAACAAATTTACTTTCTGGATTAAAATAACAATGGATAACAAAAGATAGATTAACATTGTAAACAACATAAACAATAGAGTCCCATGATTCTTTGGTGCAATCCATGGGATTGAGTGGTGGTTCTCCATTAACATGTTTGTGAAGCAATATTCATATGTCTAAAAACAAAGTCGTGACAGTCATTTTATTGTATTTCACAGATTATCCACTCTTGAATTATATGTAACATTTTATTCTAGACATGCTCATCCTGCAATTAGATCTTAGGTTTATTTAATACTCATCGTGTGATCTAGAAAATCCCACTAGAATGTCAAATTTGAATTTGCAATTATTCATATATGAAGTTTTACCACGTTTGAATGAATTCACCCAGGCATGCTGATTTAACAGTCAACACATTAAAATGTGTTAGGAGATTAGAAAAAAAATTAAACATTGTACGTACAAAATATTTCTTAGACTACAACAGTTGCTGAAATGATCAAGTGACCCTTCATGTATTAATACCCCATGTACCTTCACTTTATAAGCAAATAAATACAGACATAACAGTAAACAATTTGTAAGCTGACTGAGAATCAATAAATATATACGCTAGTGTCAATTATGGTAAATGTTTATATAGTATCTAATGTTTGTTTTTTATCACAAATTTGTTATTTATAATTATTATATAATTCACAGTGTGTGTTTTCTCAGGTAACTACAGCGATGTTGTGTAAAGAATAATAATGCATTAGAGCTGTATATTTGATTATTGCTTTAGCATTAGAGTTTTTACCATCATATCTTAAGGAAAGTTTTATAGTTAGTTTTACTAATTGTAAAAATCTTTAATAAATGAAGCAGACATGTTCACTACTGAACAATTGGTATTAATAATATAGATATCATATTTAAAATCTATATTTGTTCACATAACGTTATCTAAGGCTGACATTTACTCACTAACACAGAACGACAATCATATCAATTATATATTTTTTTTCAAATTTAAACATAGCAACTACTATTTAAAATATTTATACCATTGTTTTTAAAATGATTTTATTTTTATAAAAATGTAATATTTATAGTTATAGTAGTAAAAGAAATGTAATCAACTCACTCCATTTGAACATTCAACTACAAAATAGTGTAGGAGACATTTACAAGATTTATTTACATTACCGTATGTATTTATGGAAGAATTTGATATTCAATAAATAGTTTATTTTAATTAGAGATTTTGTGGTATCCTTTATAGAGTATGTGCAAGCATCTTATTTTATTTGTCCAGTCATATATTGACCAGTCTCCTACCTGTACTATATATTATTATACATCTGTCACCATAACGCCATAAGTTACAGCGTGCCGTAATTTTGCGGTATTTTACGGGGTATTTTCATACTACCATATTAGGAAATGCGAATTCCAAATATGGAATGATTACGCGCGTAAGCGTCCTCTAATAATAAAAACAAACATGGCTGCCACCAGGATTTGACCGGACTCCACACAAATAAGTTCGCTGATTCTGTTCTAAACTTTTTGGATTTCGGCATTCCCATGATGTATCATTGGAAGGAAAAGATGTATAATAATAAGGTTATTACAAAGATACCTCAAAGAATGCACTCGGACAGTACGCTGTCGCATCGACCTCCGCTGCGAGTCGGTCGATACTGCCGCTGTACTGTCTTCGTGCATACTTTGAGGAATCTTCGTAATAACCTTATAATATAGTACCAGTATATTCTGCATAAATCATTAACATATTTGTACATTACCCCTATATATATATTAATAAAAGTAGCACAAGATAATTTCAATGTTAGACTGTTGATATCATTTCTAATTGCATTACATAGTCCTATAAGTTATCAAGTTTGGACATGAACGTGGTCAGTCAGAGATATGGAACAAAACATCATTCATTAAAACTGTCCACCAGCCTTGTAGTACATTGTTTCAAGAGCTGTTTCAAGAAATAGGAATTAAAAATAAACTAAATAAAACAAACAATTTCATTAAAATAATGACGTGCTTCATACCCCTGGCAAAGTTTCTAAATAAAGCAAAACAGAAATCAGGTATATGAAAGCTATCACCTCTACAATTGGGAGAATCCTGTAATTAACATTATTTTTTTCCCTATAAGGCTTTTAACATCTCTTAATTTTATTTTTCATTTTATAATTGTTTAGTTTATTTAGCTGCTGTATTTTTATAATTTGTATTTCATTTTATTTACCATACTGCGCCCCCTAATGTCATAATAGTGTAATAAAGTTGTTATTATTATTATTATTATTATTTACTAGAAACAATTTGAATAGGCTGGGCGACAACCAACATCGTTTAACAGTATACATCTTTGATCCTTTTGTTTGTCGCTTTAATTATATAAATTATATCAACAGTCGCAGACGCCAGCATGATGAGAAAATTAGAACTACGAAAATGATCCGTGGTACATCATGGCCATTTCACAATGTAATCTCATCCTTACAATTAATTAAATTAGTCTTATTTGTGACTCGCTGTTAACATAACTCTGTACTATGGTATTGGTGATATATGAATTGGGTGCCATAGGATGGTACTTGATGGCCAACCAACCTAATCAAATATGTATTATACGTTATTAGGATATTAGTACCAGCTGTTTTATACGCATGCGCATTGGCCGATCCTGTCAAATCTCGTCATCTGTTTTGGGGCGTGTCTGGTCGATGTGAAATTGCTTCAGCCATTGGATAACAGAATTAACTGGTGTCTGTGTGAAAACCGCTGTAAAGTGGCGGTAAAATGATTTTGCGCGGTTTTACCAACATAGTAAACACTGAGTAAACCAAACTTAGAACTCTCAATACTAGTGCAGACGACTATGGTTGAACAACCATGAGAAATAAATGGCGGGACTTTGGTGTTGCACATTTAACACAGAAATAAAAGACACGCCCACAGTTGGACAACCAATCATTTTATTATTGGTCACGATGAACCACGGATCATCTGCACGTCCTTTGTAAACACCACATACATGATGTGCCGCCATCCAATGGCGGGATGAGCGGATTCCTTTGTGTACAATCAGCGTCAACTTCATGAGAAAAACACGACGCACTTGCTAAGCCTGGTGGCGCCCTACTATTTCATCAATAACCAAATATACTATTATCCTGTTCCCGAATTGGACATTTGTTTATTTGGAGTAATTTCCAATTCTACGCCAGGTCCTTAGTAATTAATGATTTCACGTATTTATTTGGCCGTTATTTGACAGATTTGACAAATTTAAACACACTGAGTTCTGATACTGATAATGAATTAAAAATTTGCCAAAAAATACTAAATTTGCTATCTCATGGAAATAATTAAAATCAACATATTTGGCAATATATTAAGTTTTGCGTCGCATGCACACGATTGAAATATTATAATCAAAAATGGGCCTAATATACTAATGTTGTATTTATTTATTTGTAAGAACGAGTTTACATCCTGGAATGGCCACGATGTACCACAGATCGAAAATGCTGATATCGTCGCCCTTGAAAATTGAATTGGTAGTTTGAGACCTATAGTTGGAGTCGTTTAGTGCAAAGAACGCCGGGATCCAGCGAATGCGGAAGTTAAAATAGGTCAAAATTCGAGGTCATAGAAAGGTTAATCTACGCTGTTATGACTCAATCATCTTGCGAAATCTCTATGTTCTAAATGTGTCTATGGCATGCAAAGGAAGACATTGCGTATTCTACCCAAGAAACAGCTGAGTTGACCGAATAAGAAGACGCGTTCATGGCATCCTTCGTTCATGGTCTGGGAATAGACATTACTACAACAACAACCGGACAACCCAACCATGCATCAACAGGTATGTACTTGCTCGTCGATTGCGTAACCACAGTCACTTGTTACCCGTCGGAGGTCCGTACCTCCTCCAATACACAGAAACACGGATTGTTAATAAAAGACTTGTTATGGGTAACAAGTGACTGTGTGCGTAACACGTATTCAACGAATTGTTTTGTCATAGATTATAGACAGAACTCTAGGAGATTATAGACTCAGCCACAGTCCCTCTATCCCCGGTCTGGAAACGACTAGCGTTCTTTTGTCTCGAACCGCGGTGCGGGTAAACAAACCGTTCACAACTGGGCCGAGGG